GTCTGTGCGGCGCACTGGCTGACAACTCCCGTTGTTTACCTGGTCCGGGCACGCGGGAAGCTGGCAATGGAAACCCTGATCACCAGCTGAAGAGGAAGATGCAGCGCGCAGGGCTTTAAGCTTTACCAGCCGCCCAGCACGTTTTCCCTGGCGTCTGAAGCGATGTCTCCGGGCAGGCAGGTGAGGAGCCCAGCGGAGATAAGCTAGCACGTCCGCCAGCAGGGGGGAGGAAGGGGTGTCCAGAGGTACGCTCATATTGGTCCAAATAAGTGATATCGGTGGCAGAAAAACGAAGATCCAGAAGCTGTTGTCGGTCATACACAAGCAGCGAGTTTATGTCCCAGATAAAAAACAAACAAAGCATAAATAATCCAAACACCATCAGCAGAGGTGGATTGCAAGCCAAGTACACGGGCATCATCTTACCGGAAGTCAATATTCAATAGTCAATCAACCACAAAGCCTCATTTCTTCGGCTATGAGCCTGCGAAATAAAGATGAAATTAAGACTACAGTTGCCTAAATACAAAATTATAAATATATTTAAAAATCTGTCAAGAAGTTGTTTTCTTGGGACTGCAAATTCTTCCACCATGGCTGAGAGCAGTTCCCCGAATGCTGAGTGCAGGGTGTGGACCTGAGCGTGCACCTGACAGCAGGTGTCATCATTTTAAGTTTGTTAAAGTTAGCCCAAAGGAAAAGTGCATCTCAGTTGTGGATAATGATTTTGCGCTCCAGTACAGCTTGTCTGTGGTGCACACATACACCTGCTGTGGAGCAGAGCATGGTGGGCGAGGCCACGCGTAATTGCTGCACAGTGCGCCGCCAGTGCTACTGTCTTTTCTGATTAACTTCTGTACACTATTTTATTGCATTTCTCATCCTCAGTAAACTTACTGCATCCTCCTCTAAGTAGATTTACACAATTTTATATTGTGCATTTCTTACTTAGTTTTATTTGTTCTGTATGATTTGTAAAACCACATCAAAGACCGAGACCGGCCCAGGCATTAATCACATTAATATGGCCCACCCGGCCCTAAATCGGGTCGGTCCAGGCCAGATTCCAGGTTCGGGTTAGAAATGACAGCTCTACTCAGGACACTATACAGGAACATTCACATACATAGAAAAGCCAATTAGTAAAGTTCTCTAAGGAAGCAGACTCGTTGAATCTTCACTTTGTTGCAGTCTCCCATCCTGAGCAAGCACAATGGCAAGAGTGGAAAGGAAAAACTCCCTTTTAGAAGGAAGAAACCTCCAGCAGAACCAGGTTCAGGACAAGCGGCCATCTGCTTTGACCGGCTGGTTTGATCGGACAGGAAGGAGAGACAGACGAACACAGAATGACAGGTCCAGAATAGGTCCAGGTGCACCTGAAAGACAAAAACACATGTCAAGGACAGAAAAAAAAATTACAAATACAAAACAGGTTGAGCAGAGTAAGTAAAAAAAAAAAAGTGTTCAGTTTGTCCTCCAGCAGTCTAAGCCTATAGCTGCGTAACTAAGGGATAGCTCAGGAAACCCAAGTCAACCCTAACTATAGGATTTAGCAAAAAAGAAAGTCTTAAGCCCAATGTTAAAACTGGTCGTGTCAGCTTCTCGGACAGAAACTGGAAGTTAGAAGAATACTAAGCACTACTAGTACAAAACAATGCACCAAACAACGGCAGCACTAAAATTAGTCTGTGTGAGCAGATAAGGACGAATAAACACAGCAACATTAAATAAATCAGCAGCATGAGATCAGCATCACGGATAGTCAGCAGCACATATCAACAATCAAGTGGCATTACAGTGATTTTTTTTTCCACAGTAATTATCCTGACTAGGGATTCATGAGTCTAACAGCCTCAGGATAGAAGCTGTTCCTCATGTGCATAGAAGCTGTTCCTAATGTGCATACAGAGAAAAGAGACCCCGCTCACAGAGTCTGCACAATTCTTTTCTCCCCCTAGCTAGAACTGCTGCTAAAAGGGATCATTCTCAAAAGGGACCCCCTTTCCTGTTGAGAGAATAATATGCTCTTTTGTTAATTGATCCTCCGGGACTCATTTACAAAAGAAACCTGATTTTTTTTTTTTTTTTTTTTTTTTGTGGGAACCACAAAAAAACACCACACTCCCTCTGACGCTGAAATGTTCTGAGACTAGAACATTTTTTCATTTTCTCTGTTGGAGATGTACATAAAATTGAATGCAAGTCAGATACAACTTTAACACTTATTATCACTTATCACCAGCAAACTGTTTTTTTCCCCACTATGGGAGTGTGCAGCTTGTGGGACTGAGTTTGTTTGTGGCTCTTCGGACTGATGAAGTCCTTTGGATGAAGGACGAAATTGTTAGATGAAAAACACTTTAAAGATGTTTATTCAAAGCAACCACACACACTCACAGTGGGTGAAGATTTATCTCCGGCAAAATTTTACTTGCAATGACAGATATTGTAACACTTCACACCAATATGCATTAAATGTATAGACAGGAAGCCCGGTCACAATGATCTGCAAAGTGTTGCATTGTCTTCTTGCTTTTCATGTCCCTATCAGCTTGATAAGGTTTCAGTAGGTGTCCTCGAAGCCAGCTGCAATCTCACATGGCCCTCCTGGCCTTCACTGATACAGTCCACAAGCAGGATGAAGGTGTTTTGGCAGACAGATTGGTTGTTTCTTTTAAGGGGAAGAACACTAGTAATAATATAGCCATAACTCCATAAGCTTTGACCAAAATTCTCTAACAGGAACAACTCAGCAAAAAAATAAACTGTCCAGATGACCTGATTGAACATTGCTGGATACCTGGATTATTGAGCATGAACTTTGGTGAAACTTTGATGAAACTATGCTGGTGAAGATTCTCAGTCATCCAGTACATGATAAATTCAAAAAACGTTCAATACAAATGGACTTTATTTGTAACAGAAGACTTTTCGCTCCTCATCCGAGGAGCTTTCTCAATTCAAAGAGCAGAGAGTGTGGGGTTCAGGTTATATGGCTGAGATAAGATACACATACATATGTAGATTGACAAATCACATATTAATCACATATCAACAGGACCAACTTCACCCCAGACCAGATCTGCACCCTGTTGGATCTCTGCCTCTCCACCACTTATTTCTTACTTACTTTCTTACTTACTTACTTACTTACTTATTTCTTACTTTATTTACTATTACTTACTTCGAAGCAAGAAAGCTATACTGGGGAGATGCTAAGACGGACAATATAGAGGTGATCGACGTGAACAGCAGTAACCGACAGACGCTGCTCGAGGACAAGCTGCATCACATCTTTGGTTTTACTCTGCTAGGCAATTACATCTATTGGACTGACTGGCAGAGACGTAGCATCGAGTGGGTCCACAAAACCACCGCCGTGCGAGAGATCATCATCTATCAGTTGCCGGATCTGATGGGGCTGAAAACTGCAAAAGTTGCGCAGACCCACAGCACCAATGGCTGCGCAGTGGAAAATGGAGGGTGCAACCATCTTTGTTTCTGGTGTCAGAAGGCGATCCGCTGCGCCTGCCCCATGGGGCACAGAGTACGTCACCTTGAGTCATTAAAGATGGTTACCCAGGAGTGTCTGACTTTACTTCCTCATTACACAATGTTATAAACCTTTCCTAAGCCTTTCCCTTTTTGGGGGAGGTTCTTCTTTCTATTGGATAATCATCTGCTCACTCATACTGTTGCCATGACATCGAGCTCCTCCTATGCCCCTTTTCCTCAGAGTGATAAACTAGTTTTACTATCCTGTTTTTTTTTTGGGAGAGTTTTTAACTCCCCCCGGAATGTGAAACTCCACACCCGTCTTTGTTCAAAACAAGTTATCCCACATAACTCCTTGTCCAACACCAATTATGTCATACCACCACACCCACCTTGTCTCTATGTGAGAACACATACTGAAAGGGAGCAAACACCATAAACTGATTATTTAATTTACTGCAAAACCACCATAAGTAAATAAGTAATTTCCCATTTCCACAACAGACAGAAGCACGGCTGTGCCATGGGATCTCCAGTGTTTCATTTAGCCTTTATTTATACAGGTAGTCTCATTGAGCCACGAGAACTCATTTTCAAGAGAGACCTGTTTAGGGAGCACATGGTGGGGTTAAGAGCCTTGCTCATGGGCCCAGAGTGGGGCGAATGAGGATGGGGGCAAGTGTGGGTGTTTCACCTACCCCACCCACAATTTTGATGTTGTCGGGGCCGGGGTGTGAACCGGCGATCTTCGGATCACAGGCCCACCTCTCTAACCTCTGCGCCACCACTCCCAACCACCACTCCCCCAGTGTCAACCATTGTTGCCAATCTCTACATGGAGAAACTAAGCAGCCTCTTCACAGACGCATGGCTCAACACAGGAGAGCTACCTCCTCTGGACAAGATTCAGCTGTTCACCTCCACCTCACAGATAAGGGACACTCTTTTCAGGACCAAAATAAACACATTTTGGAGTGAGAACACAGATGGTTTGAGAGGGGGGTGAAGGAAGCAATTTATGTTAAAAGAGAGAAACTGTCTCTCAACAGATGAGGATTTCAACTTTCAAAAACCTATAATGCAACTTTAAGACTGATTCCCAGCCAGTTTTCACACCTGATGGGAACAGAGGGGCCTCATCTGTGAATTAGAGTAACAATGACCTTAAGAAACCCCTACTGTTAAGATGTGAGGTGTGATCTGTCAATCTACATATGTGTGTGTTTATTATCTCAGCCTTATAACCTGAACCCCTCACTCACTGCTCTTTGAATTGAGAAAGCTTCTCAGATGAGGAGCGAAACGTCTTCTGTTACAAATAAAGTCCAGTTGTTTTTGTATTGAACGTTTTTTGAATTTGATGAAACTAGTTTCACTGTTTAGGCAAGTACAAAAGTCTCTGTGCCAACAGTTGGTTTTTAATGCAATCATGATGTTGATTTTATTCTTTCTTTTTTTAAGGCCACATTTTAAATCACCAGATCAGAACTGAGAGCAGCAGAAGAGCCCAACTTAACAATATGGTTGTCCCCAAATCAGCAGATAAGACACTGTCCAAAAATGTCCCTTTGGAAACCCACATCAGTCCAAAACCATCCCTGTCCCAAAACTCCAAAAGTTGTGAACATTCAAGCTCTAATGGGAACTTCTCACCAAACACAAGCCTCGAGCTTCAGCCTCAGGAGTTCACCGAGACTGACGTTCTGCTCTCCAATGAGCTCTATGCTGGGTCCAGGTCCAGCAGATCCATGAGAGCAAAGGGCGCTGAAGGTTCACCTGGATCTGAAGAATCAGTGTGCTCCATGGTGCTGCAGATCCTGGTGCCCTTTCTACTGGCCGGGTTTGGGACGGTTTCTGCTGGGTTGCTGCTTGATGTAGTTCAGGTAAGGAAACGAACGTAGAGCAGAGTTCACAAAGTTTCCAAGAAGAAACCATTATTTATAACTTTTAGAAGAAAAAAAAAAGATTAAACACACACAAAAAAAGTGATGAAATAAACAATAAAAAATGAAAGATTTGATGTCACGTTAACACACTATACACCATCTTGTCTGAAAATTCAGTTCAGTTTATTTACAGTATATAGTACCAAGCCACAACAGAAGTTGGCTCAGTGCAATGAACAGAAACACTCATATGTAAAATAATAAGTTAACACTATTTATCTGAGGAGCAGACTGCTTTGAATTTAACTGATAACTCACAGATAAAGAGAAATAAATAAATAAACAAATAAATAAATATTAAAGAAAGATAGAAAATAAAGATTTATTGTTTGTTTGAAGTTTGTAGCCTTGTAGTTTTTTTTTATTATTATTATTATCTCTGCACTTTTTGTGTTTTGTGGCAGAGCTGGGATGTTTTCCAGGACATTTCCGAGATCTTCATTCTGGTTCCTGCTGTTTTAGGCATGAAGAGGAACCTGGAAATGACTCTCGTCTCTAGACTCTCCACTGCTGTGAGTGTCTGGACACAAATCTGTTTATCCATTCATCTTCTTTACCCACTTTTTCTTTCCTGGTGAAAAGATGGTATTGTGGTCACATTTCAAGAGAGGAGGGGTACACCCTGGACAGGTAGCATGTCCATCACAGGACCATATAGACAAATAACCATTTACATTTTCACTCACTCTCAGAGACAATTTAGAGTCACAATTTAACCTAATATCCACATTTTTAGTCTGTCGGATGAAACCGGAGTACGAAAAAACCTACGTGCACAGAGAACATGCAAACTCCACAAAGAATGGCCAGGAACAGGGCCAGATTAATACTTCTCTGTACCCTGGGCAACAATCTTCAAGGGACCTATCATCACGACCCCAGAATCACCATAATCTGGCAAAATACAAAATAAATTACCATAATATACAATATACTTCAAATTCTAACTATCAGGTGTATTTTGATGTACAAATATTCAAATGTTCATAGAACTATAAATGCTATATACTATTAAAAAATGTTCAAGACAAAAACAACAAGACTTTATTTGTTTTGCTTCTCATCTGAGAAGCTTTCTCAATTCAAAGAGCAGAGCGTGTGGGGTTCAGGTTACAAAGCTGAGATAAGATACACATAAATATGCAGATTGACAGATCACACCTCACTGTAGGGGTTTGTTATGGTCTTCATGTCATGTTTTCTGCTCAGTCACTCTGCACTTTCAGCTCATCAGCCAAGATTCACTACATCGTTCCCCTCACTATTTAAGATCCATCCATCCATCCATCCATCATCTTTTACCCGCTTCTTCCATTTTGGGTCATGGGGTGCCCATGTCCAGCAATCACTGTGCGAGGGGCAGGGTACACCCTGGACAGGTCGCAAGTCCATCACAAGGCCACATAGAGACAAACGAGACAAACAACCATTCACTCTCTCACTCACACCTAGGCACTATTTAGAGTTACCAATCAGCCTAACATGCATGTTTTTGGTCTGTGGGAGAAAACCTGAGTACCTGGAGAAAACCCACACATGCACGGAGAGAACATGCAAACTCCGCCCAGAAAGGCCCCCAGACTGGTATTTAAACCGGGAACCTTCTCAGTGAGAGGCAGCAGCTCTACCAGTTGCATCACCGTGCTGCCTATTTAAGATCCACATTCACTTTAGTTCTCCACCAGATTATTCTGTCAGAAGTCAGGGTTTTGGATTCAGAATCAGCCAGACAACGAGTGTGAAAACAAAAAAACAAAATAAATCCTGACAATAGGACAAAAACAACAAAACAAAAAAAGTTTTATTTATTTTATAGCTGCAGCTGAGGTCAGTATCCAGCTGTGGTGACAGCTGGATACTGATCATGCATCATAAACAAAAATCCATCATTGTGGAGAAAGCATCTGGTATGGATCGAGTACACCCACAGCACACTCACTTCCTCGGCTACTGGTTTCTCACCTTTCAAGGCATCTCAAGGCTACTCGCCACCTCTTTTCTCTAACTAAGTCTGAGGTTTCAGTACCATTTGTGAAGCATGGTTGCTGCCAAAGGTTATAGCACCTGACAAAGAGTGCTATCATGTGCACTGCAGCCCAAAACAAGAATTTCACTGATTAACATTGCTGTACAGCACCCACGTACCAGATTGTCCAGAACATATGACTCTCCCCACATGACATTAAAATTAAGGACATTCCCAAGAAATTAGCCTCATAGGGCCCTTTCCTACTGAGAAAATCATCAGCTCATCTGCTATGAGATTCAAGTTACCTGCTTCCATTCACATTCATTCTATGTTTGAAGTCTCCCAAATGAAACCCATCTCTGAAAGTTATTTTTTCCCTTCAGCCAACCTACCTCCACCCATCCATCTCATTAATGACGATCCTGCATATACCAACAGCATCATCTTGGTTGTAAAATGCAGAGGCCGAGGGTTACAGTACCTGATCGACTGTGAGGGTTATAGCCCGGAGGAGAGGTTGTGGATTTCCATGTCTCTCATTCTCAATTCAAGTCTCATCTCCTCCTTTTATAAAGATCCCCCTGAGAAATGCCCCAGATTGCCTAAAGCCATTCTTGAAAGGGGGATACTGTGAGATTTCCAATGTTTTTCCTCTGCAGTTCCCTTTGTGGCAAGTTGCACAGAAGACAGTTGGAGTGAAGGCTCCCACAGAATCGTGTGGTCCTCAGTCCGTGCGGAAACTTTGCACTCTGTCCGCAGACGGTTGAGACTTCATACTCGAGCATCCACCTTGAGCAACTGCTGCCCAGCTTTGCAGGCAAGGGGCCTTTGAGATCGCCTATTGGTCATTTGTTGACATGACAAATGGATTGATTGACAGGTCACAAAAAAAGAGAGAGAGAGATGGCAGGAAGCCCCAGTGGTGTTCTGTGTTTGTTGTTAAGAAAAAATTCTAAAAAATAAAAAAAACATGGAGCACTGGCCGCTGTGCCACCCACACATCAGACCAGCTCACCAGGAAATCTCCAGACCCTCCCGCAGCCATGCTGGGCCTGTTTTAATTTGCTCGTGACAAATTCCTTCATTTCTCACAATTTCAGTCATGGTGTCAACGGAGGAGGAGAAAGAGATCACTTGCCTCTTGGAAAATAAAAAACAAAACAAAAGAAAAGGCCAGATCAGGGATGAAGAAGAGGAATTTAATACATTGGTGTTGCATACAAAACAGTCCGTTGCCGGGCATTTTATTGTGCGACACCAAGTACGCACACGCAGTCGTAAAAATTGAGCTTTGCTTGGACATATCTTGCGGGCGTCCGCTTCGACTTTAATCCAGTACACGTGGACCTCCACAGACTGAAGTACACCTGAGTATACTGGAGCCTTCAGCCACCCCACCATCACAGACATCTACACCTCCAGATGCAGGAAGAGGACCACCTGCATCATGAAGGACCCCCACTTACCTTGCTGCTGTATTCATTCATACCCATCTGCTCACCACAGACTCATGTTTGGGCTGCTGTTGTTACGCCATATTGTTTTACATTATTAGTGTTTGGCGAATATCTTAGATCTTTTAGCGTACCATTTGGCACTCGTTTAGCATACTGTATATCTTGAGTACATAATTTCATTCCACCTCATGTACCACATGTGATGTGAATGACAATAAAATTGACTTGAACTTGAAGTTGGCACCAATGAGCAACAGCTGGGACCAATCTGGATAATGAGCTCCAGAGGTATTTAAGGCTGCTGAAGTGTTCCTTCTGACACTGGAACATTACATACCAGTCATTATAGTGACAGCCTACCTGTGTTTCTGAAAACTGAAAAAATATGTACCAGTTATTCTTCTGTGTCTTCCTAGTTCTGTTCTTCTTGATAATCATACCTTGGACCTACCTGTTGTTGGATTTAATATTTTATACCTTTTTATAATTCCTATCAAGCACTCAAATGTCATGTCATATAAAGTGTGTGTGTGTCTTTCTTCCAAGGTTGAACTATGTTTATAGAAAATGTTTGCTAATTCTAACTAGTTGACCTTTAAATATAATCTCATAGTAGCTAAAGATAATTTTACAAGTTCACATTTGATAAATTACAAGCAATCAAATCAGGCCAGAGAGCAGACTGATTAACATAAATAAAGCTAGAACAGCTCTTTAATTTAGACTATAGGTTGACTAAGTAAAATCAAATTAAGAGTATAACCATGATCCAAATAAAAACACGAACATAAGTTAGATAATATAATTATTCCTAGAAATAAACAACTATTTCAAATCAGTGTTATCACTAAGGTATAATCACGTTAAACAAACAGTGTTAACAGTTTTAAACGCAGACACAGAAACTAAGATGAATCTGCCTTAAAAACAGAATCACCAGACCTCCAACAGATATTGAATTAACACCCAGGAGGTAGGTAATAATTAATAGTTATTAATTATTACGCATAAACAATTTAGACACGAATCATTTTATATCCCTAAAGTATAATAGCAAGTTAAACTTTAAACAAAAGCCGATTTCAGTGAACCAAAACTTATCTGAAATATAGACGTAACGTCCTTGAGGGGGCGGGCTAAGTCGTAACCATAGCGACAGAAGCTGAACCAATCAGGAAGCTAGCCTTCTCAAACGGGGATAAAAGGCCGGGAATGACGCACGCGCACCGAGCATTTTCCGGGAGACGCACACGAGGCGGTTCGTTCTTAATGCTCCATTTATATGCATATATCTTATTAATGTAATTGTTTGTCTCTGAATATCTGTAACCCATGTTGTGTCAAATAAATCTTTTATACGAAGGGCGACGCCTCCGCCGTTTTGAACACGACGTGGTATTCTATCCACAACACTGTGCACCTCCAGTGTTCCTGATCTAGACTGGACCTAAAGTAACCTGTTGCTCCCTGCCTGCTTTCACTTACCCACTAACCACAGAAACATCTACCAGTACTTATTTGGAATTTTCCACATCCTCACGGTGTCAACAGACCTGGAAGAAACTACTTTGTATTTCTCCAGTGCCTCCTGTACATTCCTGTATGTATGTATGTATATATATATATATATAT